GGTGGATTACCTGTGGATTTCATGTCAGTATATGAATTAAGTTCAGTAAAAAGCCTTCCTTTGAATATGAAAAATATTATAGTTTATTCTTCACATATTATCAAACGACTCTGGAATCCAGAAGATGGGTTAGAATAAGCGGAATTTTAAGTGAAGTGAGCCACTCACACAATAGTGTCATCTGCATCTTCTGACTCTTGTGCACTTTTTTCTACTTCTTCAGCCATGAAAGTACTTTTTATTTCAATGTCCATATTCATATGATGCTAGTTGTCCAAGATGCTGGGAACAAACAACAAAAAAGCTTCCTGGTAAGTTAATTTGGCTCATCATAAACTACAGGAATCTTGGCCTAATCAATGTTGCAATGTTGACAATCCTAACTCACTAGCATAAGAATGATTAAAGAATAAATCACTATCATCAACAAAAATCTGTGATTGGTTCTTTGGTTCACTGTAATTGTGTTGAGCAATTTGTTCCTTCTTCTTTGTTATAAAACTATCTATTAATAATCATGAATAGTGTGAGGATTTTATTCTGTTCTCAATATCCATAGAAAAAAGAAAAAAAAGGTGCTATGGTATAAACACATTTCATATGTGAAATTTCTGATGAGTAATACTGTAATGTACTATTAAATAATAATTTATATAATTAAACCTTCCTTATCTTATAAAATGCTATTAATTTATTATTTTTTAAATTAAACATGCAACTGATAACTGATTAAATTTTAACAAAATTAAATCTAACATTATTAGGTAAAATGTGGGTCATTAGTAAAGAGGATTTTAGGAAGTCAGAAAAAAATCTTAAAAAATAACCCTAAACAAATATTAAAATAAAATAAAAATGTTTGTTTTTATGTTAATAAGTTAAAATGAAACATGTTATGTAATGAATATATTGAGATTATCTCAGTTGTAAACTTCAAGAGCTATTGATTGCTTAAATATATTTTAGTTAATATTTACCTTTGAGACCAAGATATTTTGATCTTCTCTGTGATCAAAATTAACATTATCATGTATCGTGTAGCCTCTTCTGTAAACCATGGACCTGAAAAATTTACTTCTTTAGGGTATAATACCTTATAAACCTGTTGTCGTCAAGTTGATTCCAAGTCATAGCGACCCTATATAGAAATTATTATATCTTCTTGGGTTAAAATTTTTCGTTGCTTTTTTTTTTCTTTTTTTCCCCTCAAATTGTCTCAAAGAGAGAATGTAGCTAGGTGACAAAAACATTGAACAAAATTATATATTTAAAAGAGCTAAGATTATAAAATAATTTAGGGAAAAGTGATATATGATTAAGGAGTTTTAATTTTTTCATAAACACTGTTGCTTTTGTTCTCTACCATGCTTTACATGGGCTTTGTGCCATCTGTTTATTCTCATATTATCTGTTCATAGACCTCAATCTTTTTTTTTTTTTTAAATTGGTCCATTATGTCCACTGTACACAAACCAGGTGTATATGTCTTTTTCTGTAAGTAAGTATTTTACAAGGCTTAGTTTCTTGTTTTCTCCTATTCAGTTATTTGGTCTGTACTATAGTATTTGTTTAATTGCTTTTAGATTTAAATGAAACTGAAAATTAGAATATTTTATCTGTTAATTGCTCACCTTAATGCAGAATTTTTGGGAATTTTTTTCCGTTCCTTTTTTTTTTTTTGACCAACTGGTTATTAAATTTATTCTTTACTTTTGTTGCATTATAATTTTCTCAATTTATTTCTCAAATAGAGTCAGCACCAGCATATGGGTCAAAGCCCTCAGGTCTTACCAGCTATGTGATCACTCTGATCATTTAATCTCATTTCTTCAGTATTCTTATTATTAACATGGGGGTAATAATTACACCAGCATCATGGTTGAAGTGTTGGCATTGAATAAAATAATGTAAAAAAGATCACATAATACCTCTTACATTGCAAGTCTTCAGTAAATACTAGCAAGTCTTCCTATATTTTGCATTGATTCTATTCTGAATACAATGAAGACATATTAAAGCCTATTAATATATTGAACTAAATAATAATATTAAAACTTTTTATAAGATAGTAAACCTGCAAGGTGCCTAATTAAGGTGACTCTGAATACTCTTTCTTCATGAATTCTTAGTACTAAAGCCAGATCCAGTCAGAAAGCTCTGGAAACAGCAGCCATGTTGACCCTTGATGCCATAGCAGCCATCCCAAACAATGAGAAATGAAAATAGCACACCCAAACCACTACTGATGTGCAAAGCAGTAAGTATGGAGGAAAAAACAAATTTAGTTTTCATGCAATTCCAAGGTGCAATGTAAGTATAATAAGAACATTCACATGCCAAGAAATCAACAGATGGCCCAGTATAAGATCTTCTTTGAGTTTGAAGCTCAAGGCAAACCTCCTTCATTTCCTTCTCTGATAAATTCTCATTAGAACAAAAAATAACTTTCACTGGGCTTCATTTTACAGCTGTTCATTTTTTAAAGATATGTAATAAATATTTATTAAATAGCCACAGTGAAAGATGGCTGCTACTTAAGGTGGCGAATACAAAGGATTTTGCATTCAGTACTCTGAGTCACTTTAACGAGTCAGCAATGTTGGATAGGAGATTATACAATTACCTATCATAGTGATCATTGTCCCAGGTTTTCGTTAACATTTCTGGTTTAAATTCTCTCTCTCAGATATATATAACCAATTGCCATCAAGTCAATTTCAACTCATAGCAACCCTATAGGAAAGAGTAGAACTGCCCCATAGAGCTTCCAAGGAGCAGCTGGTGGATTGGAACTACTGACCTTTTGGTTAGCTGCAGAGCTCTTAACCACTGTGCCACCAGGGTTCTAAGATACATATAGATAGATAGATGAAAAGAAATTGAACAATTTGTTCCAGTTTTCCACTCAGAAATATTTCATTGTGTTAAATGACATAAATCATAAATCTTTGGATATTAAGAAGGAGGGTCAAGTCACTTCTTGCTGGGAAAAGCAGGAGTCAGGCTTGAGTACCACTGGGATGTCCTTGGAAACTAGGTAAGATTTAGATAGGAGCAATGTGTGTGTGTGTGTTTGTGTATGTGTGTTAAATATTTTCTGGAGGTAGAATTTCTGCAGAATGGAGAGGCATGAGTAAAAAACAAAGAGGTATGAGGCAATTAATGGTAATATTGAGCTACAAATTTTAATGAAAATAAAAATTGTTTAAGTCCTTTGTAGTAGAAGGCTTTAAGTACTAGGCTAAAGAAATTCATTTATTTTGTAGTCAGTAGTAAACAACTGAAGATAGATGAGCAGGATAGTTAACACAGAAAAGTACAGACAGAATGGAGGAGAGGGGAGCTTGAAAATCATTCTCTCTAAAGTCCTCATTTTTAAAGATGAGGATACTGAGGCCTAAAGCAAGTAGCTACTAAAGCAAGTAGCTCAAAGCCCCATTGAACTGCCTGTGTCCCATATTAGCTTTATTATGTATCACTAGGCTTAAATTGACTTAGTTGGTATTCTATGTAGATATTTTTAAGTAACTCAACTATAAATGTGGGGGAATGGGGCTTACATTTTTAATGGTCTTCAAACAGAAACATAAATTTTAACTTTCTATCTTACTGTGAGGCTTTTTGCCAAACTGAAAGACTGATTCACTGCCATTCCTCTAAATTTGCCTCATGCATTTGGAGCACATTATAATAGAAAGAAGCTGCTTTCAGACTTTTGATGCCAAAATATTTAAGGAAAGAAAAATCAAAGATGAGCTTCTACCTCTTTCCAAAATTGCATCATTGCTGCTTTGCTCTTCATCTTTACAAATATTTAAATAAACAACAAATGTCATCAGCTAAAGATCATGAGAATTTTATTGTGGAGAGCAACACACTCTAGTTGTCAAGCTGGTGACTGTTCACCTCTTTTAGGTGAGAATGCAAACTCAATCTTTATAGTAGTTACCACACACCAAAATTAAATGAGATAACCTTATTTCTACAATCACACCTTTTTGTAGATGCTTCTTTTGCAGTCTTTCCCCCTCCCATCAATCTATAAAACTGCACTTCAGATATATCTCTTTAAAAGAATGAATGAGACAATTGAGGAAAAAATATTAAAGGAGAAGACACAGTAGAGGTAAAGCCCAGAAAGTTTATTGTTTTAAACTGTTTTTTTCTTAACTAGTTGAAAGACTTTCAATGTAGTATAACACAAACAATATACTTAAATCTAAAAAAAAAGAAAACACAACCACAAAAAAAAAAACAAAAACACCTGAGATCATTTGACCCTTGTTAACTGGAATTAACTGCATGTACCTGCATATCATATAATTTCTAAAATCCTAAAACATTTCAATGAAATTAATGAATTAAATCGTGGTATCTTAAAGTACCTAGCACACTATAAACCTCAATAGCCAAATTATATTTATTCCCTTAAACCTAAAACATAGCTAACGTCTCTGTTTTTAGATATTTTGCAATTTGGTTCTCAAGAAAATGTTGAGTAATTATCCCGTTCCAGCCGCAGAACTACTGGAAGACTAGAAATGGTCATTAGCAGTGAGCGATATGGGGTGTTTAAGAAACTAGCCACCGTCTAGCAGAGGCTGAGAAAGCCGGGCTATGTGACGACAATGTTGTTGGTGCCACAAGCCTGTGATAGGGTGCAGGCTATGTGCTAAGCCAAGGGACCCGCTTCTCTTAAGTGCTGCCGGCAGAGCCAGAGCTGTTTTCCCTTCCGCCTCCCGGGAATCCCGGTCCTCGCAGGCGTCGTCAGGAGGATTCTTCGCCCTAATTATCCGGGGAGGAAGGCGCGCCTTTCCCGGAGACCGCTAGGCAACACTCACCACGGCAGCCTTCAGATTACTTCCCTCCGTGGGTGTGTGACTTCGTCTAAGCAACTCACTGGCGAGGCTGCGAGCGGCAGAGGGCGGCGGAGCTGGAAAGAGGAGGACGGAAGGAGGGTGGGAGGCACAGAACGGGGAGGCAGAGGAGACAACACAGCTCCAGACACAGCAGGAGCGCTCAGTGGCGGTGCAGTTTCCACTTCGCCTTCTCAGCCGCCCGCACACCGCCTCTCCCTCGAGCAGCAGGAACGGCAGCAGCTCCTGGCCGCCGCAGCCGGGCTCCCAGCTCCTGCCCGCTCGCCGCCTTCAGTACCTCCCCCTCGTCAGCACTCTGCCCGCAGGTCTTTCCTTCTGCCAGCCGCTTTGAACTCTCAGGATCTTTTTTCTCTGCTTGCCAATCTCTTCTTCCCCCACGCCACATTTCTCAACTCCTCTCCCTTTATCCTTAGCCACCTTCCTCGTTTCTCCTTTTTATTGGGGATTTCGTCTTGACTTCAGACGACTTGTTTTCCTTACGCTCGTCCACTTCAGCCCTGAAGACTGAAGAGGAACCTTTACCTTTTCCTTCCAGTGGCATTTAACAAACTTCATTTCTTAAAAAGTCTTAAGAAGCAAAGGCACGGGACGCGGGACCTTCTCGATACCCTTGAGCCCCTTCCAGAACTGCACGAGCAACCATAACTAGCATTTTACTGAACCCCACTGGAGGGGAGGGCTCTTAAGAGGAGCCAAGAGCAAACTTCAGCCGTCTCAGCGGATCCGTGGTTCCCGCATTTGGAGGAGCCCCGTGCCAGTAGGAGAAGGACTCACAAGGGACGAGGAGGAACCCCGGGTCTCCTTCGCCCCCTCCCGGAGTCCGAAACAGTGGACTGAGCCGCGCGGCACAGCGGCGGAGGAGGCGAGAAGATGCGGGGCTCGGGGCCCCAGGGTGCTGGGCGCCGGAGGCCCCCGGGCGGCGGCAACGGCGGCGGCAGCGATTACCCCAGCACCCCTGCGTCTCTGGCCGGCTGCTACCCCGCACCTCGCAGAGGCCCCCTCTGGACGTGCCTTCTCCTGTGCGCCGCGCTCCGGACCCTCCTGGCCAGCCCCAGCAACGAAGGTAGGGAAGTGGGGGTGGGGACCGTGGCGACCGGGTCCGAGAGGTTAGGCGGGGCCTGGGAGTACGGGTCGGGGCTTTCTGGACACTGCTGCAGCGTGTGATCTCGCTCCTCATCTCGAATTTACATTTATGGTTCGTTTTCGCTGGCATTTTTTCGTTCGCTTTCTGCTGTCTCTGGTTGCATTGTTTGACATTAGCTGCGGGAGTGGTGGAGGAGGAACCTGCGTGTGGACAGAGACTGGTTGGGGGGCTGGAAGTTGGAAGCCAGGGGGAGAGAGGGGACTGAGACCTGCACCGGGAGGTTGGGTGCGGCTGAGTCTTACTTGAAGCCCGCGGGGAAGTGACATTTCGAGCTTGAAAGAGTGGGAGATATTTGGAGGACAGCCACGAGGATCGAGGGAGCGGTGGGGCTTTTAGAAACCGTTATTTGAGGCCAGCGATGGGAAACGTTGTGGAGGGTGACTGGAAGCTTTTATTTTGGGTGAAAGTTACCACTGAGAGTTGTTATTTAGGGCATCACCAGCTGCTATTCTGGGGTAGGTGGCATGAGCGTTTATTTCTCTTGGAAGGTAGATGGGAAAAAAACAGAAGGCTCCCCATACTGTTAATTGCCCTTCTGTTTGGGAGGCTCTTGATCACACCAAGGAGACTGCCCTGAAGAAGGCAGGAAGGTGGGATGCGGAGGGTGAAGGAGACAGTGTCACTGCCAGGAAGTTGCCGCTGGAACCCGCGGGGGAATGTCTCTCGGGTTTCAGAGAGGAAAAAGCTCTTCTCCGGATCCTGGAGTCCCCAGCCGGCCTCCCCACCCCCAATCCTGCGCTCTGGACCCGGAAGGCAGTCCCCGCCTTCTTCTGAGAGCGCGGGGCCGACCGCGGGAGCGACACCTGTACCGCGCTCGCTGCTCCTGGTGAGGTGCGCAGCGCCTCGGCCCTTGGCGTCTGGGTCTGTAGCTGCGCCCGCTCCTTTCTCACACCGTACTGCTCTCGGGTCTCAGCTCAAGGGCGCATTCCTCTGCGGGGCGGGGGTCAGCATCTTGGATTCGGATCAGGGTTATGATTGAGGGGTCAGCTTCACCAAGAAAGCGTTGAAAAACCTATGCCCCAGGCTGGAAGGATGGGGTTTCAATTTGGGGCTGGGATGGGACGTGTGAGGAGCAGAACCTAGTAAAATTCCTTCCCTTCGTAGAGAAGGGGACGCTGGAACGAAAAGATGAAGCAGCCGCGGCGGCGACTTGCATGTCCCCGTGACTTGCACGGGTTCAATCTCAGCTATAGGGGAAGGCGCTGGGCTGATTTCGGAGCGCTGCCAGCTCCCAAGAAACGGTGCAAAAGCAGAACAGAGAGAGACGCCCTCCCTCCATGAATTTTCTCTCTCTTTAATGCCTCAGTTTATTTTATAAACTCTGATTTAAGGAGGATGCATATAAGCATGGGAATGCATATATATATATGTGTGTGTATGTATGTATATATGTATGTGTGTATATATATATGTGTGTGTGTATATATATATTCCCCCATGCCTAAACCAAACAATTTACACTTCCCTTCCCAATAAAGTTAAGTTGAATAAGTTGTTTTCTGAAGTCCTAGTCCTTATATTAACATCCCTTGTTTGATTCAATCTTTTAGTGCCAGCAAGATTATATAATAGATTTGGGAGTCTTTTTATTAAATGTCCTATTTCACGGAAAGAGACGGATATCCTGGTTTAGATTTAAAGAAGTTTAATAGTGAAAATACCATTTATCCTTGCGTGTTTCTGTTATATTTCAAGTCTTCTTTCTTGAGCTGTGATGGGGGCGTGGGGCTTATGTAGAGATGAAAGGGAGTCGCTCTTGGTGAGTGGATGGGAAGAAGTGAAGGCTCAGGGAAGCTGATGCTGAATAGAAACAAGGGGGAGAGTGTGCGGGGAGGAAAAAAAAAAAAGCCAGAAGGAAGTGGAAGGAAGCAAAGGAAGAGCACTGGTCCTCTAAGGCGTTACTAAGTGCAGAACACTATGCAGGTAGCCTGTCTGATATGACAGATTTAACACCCATATGTTGTATTGCCTTACCCCCAGCCAGTCAAACACAAAGCAAAATGAACTAAAGTGAAACGGGATTTGGGGAGATATCTAACCAAAAGTGAGCAAAAATTTACCTCCCAGTGTTCTGAAGTCACCAAGAATAAAAATGTGCCTGCTATTTGGGGCACTTTTTGTAACATGTCACTATTTTACATAATTAACAATAAAATCTTATTAATATCTATGACTTCACTGTACTCATCTCATCTGTGTTGTACAGTTTTCCATCTTTGCATTAGTATCATCCAGAACCTGTGTTTCTATTCCTCTGTAAAATTTACATTCTTTTTATTTCTCCATGCCAGTGCTATTATAAATCAGGCAGTGAAAACATACTGATACATTTATAATCAGCAGTCTCTCGGCAGTCGATTTTTTTGTTTATTTATTTAGGGAGTGGAGATAGAGTTTTTAAGTTTGTTAGTGTTTGGGGGAGTCTTTGGATGGTCAGGGCAAGAGCGATTTGATGTATCCATTTCATTCATTAATACTTGCTCTTTTATACTTTGCTTTCTGCAACCCATAGAAGTTTAGTGATTTCTTAGACTGTAATGTGTATATATGTTACACATATGTATGAGTATTCTTGTTATGTGAGAAAAAAACTTTCAAGGCATATAGAAATAAGTTTGACTTTACATGCAATAATTGGTATTCTAATCATTTTTAAACTCTACTTTGGTAGTCATAAACAAGGAAAATTAAACAGAAAAAGCCAAACATACATATCAACCTTGTGTTTATATAACTTGAGGGTTAGAATGTTTTGGATAACAGATAATAAGGGGAAACTTTACTCTTTAGCCTGAATTCTAAAGAATTTACAAGAAGAGAAATACGTATTCTTAGTTGTCTTATTGTATTAGGAATAAATTACATACAGAAGAAACCTTGGACTACATCATAATATACAAAATTTATAACATAATTCAGAGACATTTAGCAAGAAATTTGTTTCATATTGATAAGGCAGGACAACTATTAGCAAGTGAAAATTTTATCAAATTTAATGAGTAAAAAGCCATGTCCACTATTAGGAAATTTAGACGTGGCCCTGAACTTATTCAGTAACTGCCACTTTTTTACTGTCTGGAGATATATTTATAAACAAGCATTATTTGACAAGTGCTTTTTGCAGCAGGGATTCTTGGCCAATTACTGCTGAACAGCTCTGCATTGAAAATGATTCACCCACACTGAATCAAGCTTAATTCATTGAGGCTAATGTCCTAATAAAGTGTTTCTGACAGTTGTCAGCAGTTTGTTTTTGAAAAGTTCCGTTTCTTGTCTCTGAGTGTTTGTATATTTGAGAAAGTGGGATAGAGGGGCTCTGGGAAAAATCACATAAGGGTAAAAAACAGCTAAAGTGTTAGAAAACAATCATAAAATTGTATATGTGTTTTCACTGGAAGGAGAGAAAAGGAAGAAAGTTTGTTTTAGAGTTTTCCTTTTTTTTTTTGGTTTATAATAGGACCAGGCCCATAAAACAGATTGAATGACATTTTACATTTGTAAAACTACATGGCTAGGTTTTGTGGACTTGTCATCCTGTTGTAATTCATTTCCTTTTAGATAAAGCTGGAGGACCTCACAGAAAAGGGACAGTAATATCATTCCCTCACCAGGATGCTAGTGAATAAGAAAAGAGACCTATTGCTCCTGTTAAAATTATAGATTGTTGGAACTAAAGGAGGCCATGAAGAGTTTTGGCTTTTGCTTTACAAACTGTCAAAAGGGGGACTGGGTTTTGAAATTTTAAGCTTGTTTTGTTTTGTTTTGAGGTACACAAAAACCTTTTTTGGTGTCAGGGTGACAAGTAAGATGATTTAATTTCCTCATATAAGACAGAAAAGAGTAGGAAATTCTTTATATTTACAATGGATATTTCTCCTTTGATTGAAATTATTCTTGTTGTAATAACCACACATCATCTATAAATACTGTGAATATTTTAATCTTGTTAGTTGCTCTGGAATCGCAGGCCTTTCTTCCTAGTCTGTTTTAGTCTGTAATCTCCACCTTGGGTGACCCTGCTGGTATTTGAAATAACAGTGACATACCTTCTGGCATCATAGCAACATGCAAGCCGCCGCAGTGTGACAAAGTGACAGATGGGTGGTGGTTATTTCATTCCAAACTACATAGAATATAATTGGTATGTGAAAAGGGTTCACTTTTTATATTTAGAAATATCATTTTTTATATCGTGATCAGTTAGATTATGTGCTATTTTTCATCTTTACAGAAAGTATCAAACTCAGGTAGTATAGATATTTATAAACAAACATTACCAAACTGTTCAATTAAATATTAGACTTTACTAAATAATGCCACTGGTGAGAAAATGACTGCCCTTTGCTTACTTCCACTACATTTTTGTTGTTTGACACTGCCACTTAAGTCTCCTTTGTTTAAAGTTCTTTTTAAATGTATTTGCTTCAATGGCTAATTAATTTGTCTTTCATTTGGAAGAAACCTTTCTACTTTTGACTGTACAAAATAGAATATCATGTGTAAGATTATATTAACTTATAGTTATATTCCTTTTAGAAGGCAAATTTAATGTTCTTTTTTAAAAAATAAAAATGTATTGTTCATATCTTAAAGAAAAAACTATTGTACAAAGTATCAATAACTCCTTATATATATATATTTTTAATTTAAGTGAGAAGATACATTTAATTACTAATGAATAGATTTAATTTAAATTAGCAGAGGTACCTACTTATTCACATTTTTAGGGAATTTTTAAAATCTCAGAAGAGTTATAAAATGGTTTTCATAAAGCATCAGAATTAACTGAAACTTGAACATTCAGCCCTGTGCATTGATTATTGAAATTGATTGTATTTGCCTTTTTTTTCTTTTCAGAAGGAGCGAATTGTGAGTATAAAAGCAATAAATTGTTACCTTAGAGACTCAGAATGGTTCTT